TACGAACTGTTCTTTTTCCCCGAGCTATTGGTGTTTCTGGAACATCAATCGATAAGTGAAACACAAGGAAGCAGAAGGAACCATTTGTCTTCATATTTTATACACTTGGGACATTGTCAGTTTAGTTACTAGGATATGCATTAAAAAACATACTGTTGTGTTACTTCAAGAAGAATTATTATAACCCTGAATACAAAACTGATATATTGTTGTGGGTATCGTTACTCTCTCAGAAACTAGTAGTTGCAGGTCCAGATATGGGCATATTCAGTTTCTAAATCAGTTCAAATGTGTCATAAGATAAGGTTTTATCATTTCTATAGTAAATATTTCTACAAACTTTCACCTAAACCAGAAATAGTATTCTATCACCATAACCTGGCCTAACAGAACACAGTTCATGTACAAATAAATACGAACTTTAAGCATCAAGAGCCCAAGGGATTTTGCAGAATAGAATTGAACTTCATATTTATAAATAAATAAATAAATAAAAGTGCATAATTTCTCTCACCAGTGAAAACGACGAGGCCATCAGACGACACTCTTGCTAGTTCCGGAAGCGTCCGGTTCAGATACTTGGGGGACAAGTAATCCAAAGCATCCGAGACGATCACGAGAGAGAAAGATTTTGCTCGGTAAGGCAGAGGGAACTTAATATCTGCCACACGAACGAGCCCCCTGTGGACCAAGCTCCTGCAAGTACGATCAGCATCCTCGATGTCATACGGCTCCACGCCAAAAGCCTCGCTATCCTCTTCCCTCAACAATCTAGAGACCACAGAACAAGTGTCTGGGCCCACATGCAAAACCTTGTGCATGCTGTCCCCATATGCCTTTTGCAGGATCGGGATGGCTCGTTCGACCTCTAGGGTGCATGAAAAGTCACCTGCATCCAGTTAAATCTAGATTGAACTTATGTAAATGAAATGTAAATAGGGTTATTCTATTTTTTACTAATTTTCCCTTAGGACTTCTCATATCGTGAGTCAAATTTTAGGATTTTTCATAGATTTATATGAAAGTATACTTACATTGTTTATATTAGTGGGATGATTAACTTCATATGTAAGGATGAGTAGTCTGACAAATTGAGGTATTAATTCAAACTATATCATGGGCTCTCATCGACTATAGCATACACATGTTTTGGACTGATAAATTGGTATATCCAATAAAACACTGCCCTCTCTTTCCGTACCTTATACCATGTTATTACTAACACCAAATCAAATAGCAACGGAAACCTTTATTCGACCAATTAGACCCCTCATTGATATAGAGAATCTATTGCTTAGTTTTAGGACAAAAGAGAAAGAATACTAAAGAGAAGGATTCGTTAGCTTGATATTTAGTACGAATGAGTGAAATGATTGATCGCTGAAATGATAATTGATACAACAGAAATAGAAACTATCAATTCATTTTTTGGCTCGAGCAAGACTCAAAAGAACCAAATGAATCCAGAAAAAATATATGTGTTGGTTATATCTACACATATATGAATGATTTAATGCAAGAAAAGTCGGACTCTTTTTCCGAAATTGCAAGCGGAACCATCCGAGCACACCGTGGGATATGAATTCTTCGTTTTACGAATTTGATGGCGATAAAAACGCGAGTCTAGAAATTCATTTCAGCCAATTGAACCTTCTCAAACTGTTTCTTTTTAAGAACCAAAAAGATTTGTGCCAAAATAACAGATTCCCGCAGGCTATCTTCTCAACGAATAAGGAGTTGTCGGAGGGAAATCTTGATTTAATTTGAAAAGGCAAACTGAAGCCTAAGAGCATGCCATTTCAACTAACTGAATTAGGACATCACATTCTGACATCAAACATGATTTGTGCAAGTCCTTAACTGAGAGAAAAAATTTGGGCTATCCGGAAGATGCAAAGACTTATGTTTCTACGTCTTGAAACTACCACACCATAACAGATAAATAACTGATACACATTACTGCTCCATTGGAAAATTACTACATTGACACTATTGACTCTGTAAGTAGTGAATTTGGAATAAATATTTCTTATTCTGCTTTGAGAACACAGCAACATATGGTTTCTTGTTTACCTCAAGTCCTCAACTAGTATATCAGAGATTCTCGAGACCAAAATACTGTCTGCTTCACAATGTATGTTATACACAACCATGAAACAAACCATGAACCAATTTCTCCAGGCAAACAAAAAAAAAACGCAATTTTGGATCTTCTAATAAGGAGACAACTACATAAAATAAATAATTAAATAAGAAACTGCAAGCAACAAGATTACCTTCAATACGATTGGCAGCTTTAGTATTTGCAAAAGGACCTACGGAGCAAACCACGTGTCAGCTTAAAGCCCAATCGAAATGCGATACATTGCTAGCATCCAATAGGGAACCCGAAATGCTAGATGCCAAAATTTGATCAGGTTTCTTAGAAATGAGCACTAATAGAACTTAAGAGCAGAGAGATACAACCGCAGAAAAGTTACACCGAATGAAATTTAAAAAATAAATCGTGGCTTCCTCTGCTGATCTTAGAAAATCTTGGGCTCTATACACTTTTAAAATCTAGCAAACATTTAAAGACCAACTAGGTGAAATCACTTCATTACACGGCATATCTGAAATGTGATCGCAACACAAATCTAACGCTGGTTTGAAATTTTACCATTTTAAATGAACACAGAGCATAGAATATTGATTAACAACGATTTCCTTAGTTCGAACAGCTTATTAATAACTACTCAAAAAGCATTATATCTACATACATTGCCACCTATCAGATCACAGTGAATGGAACAAATCATTTCGGTCTTCAAACTAACTGAAAACCACCTATCATTTCAGTCTTCATCCGTTGTTCGAAAGCCATCTATTACTCAAATCCGCTTCATAATAACAGAGGAAACTAAATTCGACGTTACATTCATGTCATATTCAAACTAACGGAAATTATATAAAAAAAAATGCATAAAAATCGAACCTTGGCCTCGATACAGAAAACCTAAAACGAACAATGCCCCCTGCCAAATAGAAACCTCAAATCAGAATTATGCTCGTTCAAGATCAGACTTTCTGCATCTAGGAGAACATAGAGAGAGAGAGAGAGAGAGAGAGAGAGAGAGAGAGAGAGAGAAGCTCAGAAAAAAAAGGGAGGGGAATTAAGAATTGGAACCAGAATGATGAGGGCAATCGATAAGTAAGGAGATGAACGGGATCTCGACTGAAAGGGAGACGAAAATGTCGATGTTCCAATTCCCGATGTACGCCGGGAAGGATTTATCGGCCGCCTCGTCGCCATTGTTGCCGATAAAGCCCAGCTGATGTGCAGCAGCTCAATCTGATGGTAATATCAAATGTATCGAGCCACAACGGAAAGAATCAACTTTTTTCTCGTGTCTGTCTGCTATCGGGAAACTTGAGCACTGGAAAATGAGAGCGAATGTGTGAAGCAAAACAGGAGGCCCAATCAATTGATTATGCGAAGACGACGACAGAAAACACCGAGTTTTTTCTTGGGTTAATCCGGGAGAGAATATGGTTGGCAATCATGTCTGCCTTCTTCGCGATTAGGGAAGGAAAAAAGCGTGTTGGTAATTTGCGCGTTAAGTCGGTGGTGGACTGGTGATCCAAGGCTGGAATGACGATTTTACCCCAAGCATAGATCGGGGACAAATGGATCCAAAGCCAGTTACAATTCAGGGTGGCAATTTGGTCGAGACCATCGACTTCGCTCCAACGTGCGGCTTTTGGGACGGGTTAGACCTGATCCGTTTTACATAACAAGCCGGGCAGGCCTCCCTTTTAATAAACGGCAATTTAAGGTACATAATTCTGTCGCGGCCATTGACACTATTGAACCCTCCAAGAATGATGAGTAGATTTGGAAACTGCATTAAAAGGGAATTTTTTTTGTCCAATCCACTTATCAACACCTCATCACTGAAAAATTCCTGAAGCTATGCAAACCTCATAGTAGCTCTGCACCTGACCTAGACCTCAGAATCAGAAAGAGAAGTTGGCAGATCAAAGTTATGGACAGTAGTGAAACACTTTATATGCAGATGCTGCAATGATGCCTTACCTGTTGTTACACAGCTTCAGAAAAGGGGAATGCAAGTGGATGTGATCTGTCCTCAATGTGGAGATAGTGTTGAAACCATTGAGCATGTGTTGTTCCATTGCAGATTTGCCAAAGAAGTTTGGAAGCATTCTCCTGTTAGTTGGAATGGCCCTGGCCCCAAGGAGTCTTTTAAATCATGGTGGTGGCAGATTTTACAGCTAGATCACAGTGAGACTTCTGAAGCCAGTATCCAACTGTCCACCTACATCCTTTGGTGACTTTGGAAGTCTCGTAAACTATGGCTGTTTGAGTGCATTAGAAGACCAGCTCCTGTGGTGATCAAAGTGGCTATGCAGCAATGGCAAGGCTTTTTGGCAAGCAGGACTGGGCTCACCTATTAATTGTTGTTATTAGTTTGCTTTGTTCCTTAGATTTCTCCTTTTGCTTGTGTTTCTTCTTCTTTTAGTTGAGTTTTAGTTCTCGTTATTTGAATCCTTGTAGGTTATTTTATTTTGATGTAGTTTGGTAATGTAGTTTGGTGTCCTGTTTGTCTTGGTTAGTTTGGTTGGTTTGGCTATGGCAAAGGCTCGGTTGTGTGTGACCGCTTTGTTCATAGGTTGTCTCGAGTTGGTGCTTGTTGCGATTGTTATCTAGCCAACTCCGAGTGGTGCTCCCTTTCCCGGTTGTACTATGTACTTTGTAACTTT